TAGTTAGACTGTTCTAGATTGAAATGTTCAGATAATTGTGGAGATTAAACCAGTAAGAGGAAGATTAAATGAACCATAGAAATAAAAAAGGGCCAATATTCTGAGAAGGATTGGGTGCAGGAAATTAAGCGGAAAATACTTGTGGCTAATGGATAGGATTAGGGAGATAGTAAAAGCAAGAAGTACCGCCAAACAAGTAAACAATTTTGTTAGCATGAACCTTAAGACCCTAGGAAATAATGGAATAAAAAGAAAATATATAATCGTACAGTCCCGAAACAGAGTAAAGGCATTAATGAATCGGGAAAAGATTGCAAATTTAGAATACATATATTATCTTTAACAAGCACATATAAACATAAATAAGTCATATAAAGATATTTTCCAGGAATCATCTTTTCATGTTCATATGTATAAATAAAATAAGTCGCAAAGCAAAATATGCATGTGGTTGGTGTGTCAGGTATTTAGGTAATAAAAGATAGAAATTGTTTGACCTTGTTTTCGCAGCTTGGTCATATTGGCAGTAAGACATAGAGGAACGCACCTTGACCAAGTTGTTAAAACAAGGTCAAACAACTTCTATAGAACGAAAGGAGACCACGACCATACAAAAGGCTACATCATCCTGGTCTTCATACCTTCGAGTAATAAAAATAGTTGGATAGTTGGAAAGTCAACACTATTCAAGCGAAGTTGTTATAAAACTTGATCAATTTTAGGAAACTTCGAAGAGCGTACCACATAGTGAGATTTTTGAAAATGTTTTCTTCTCCTCCAACACCGGATCATTAAATAGGCATATTCCTAAACGATTCAACAGTAACATCAGTTTGTAGCTCTATCCATATTCCTAAACTTAAATTCATGGAAGTGAAGTCTATATCCTAGCTGTTTTATAATAAATAAGCATAATGAAATACATACACAATAATAATCAGTTTCGAGGATGGATACGAAATATGGATGAAATCAGACGTTTTAAAATAGCTTTACGTGGATACAGATGCCCATGAACTTAATAAAATGTATTTATATTTAAAATGAATTTAAAGTTACAAAAATGTTTGAGAGTTGAGATAATTAAGTGATTAAAAAAATCTAGCAAGCTCGGTCCTTTACGTTCTATTAACCTATGGAAAAACAAATATTTTATAGAGATAGGGCTTGAGTCGATTTTTTGTGTCCCGGTTAACAGTTAAGGCAGCAATAAGCGAGGTTTCGCCTACTTTAAATAAATATGTGATATAATAGGATTTTAGGTAAAAATTGCTTTTGTAAATATATCTTATTGAGGCGTTATTATATGGGCAATAGAAGATAAATGCCTACTTCTAGGTTGAGAAGAATGCCTTCCCACAAGCCCCGGAAGCTGCGAATCATCATTTACGTTGGTAGGTTTCGCCGGATTATCGAAAATTAAAGCGTTAGACTTTGTTCTCAGCAATTGGTCATCAGTTTCGACAGAAGACAAAGTAGTCAAGTCCTCTGGGCTCGAGATTGTAACATTTATTGGTGAAGTTCCACAATAATAATCCTTATTTAAATGACGATTTTCCTGTTTGCCGGAACGATGCAACTCCCAGGCCAACGGTGAAATTGTAGGGGATGAATTTCGATTAGCAGGAGTTCGAGCAACAACTACGTTCAGCAGCTCGGTAGAACTTAATCTAGACGAGACCATTGCTGTTGAGATATCAGTGGAAAGAATAGACTCTGAAGTAGGGAATTCATCGAACTTTCGCTGAACACTTCCCGAAGCAAAATTCGATCCCAATCCGTCAACGTCACCTTTTCCTGAGGTTCTAGACATTCCAGGATATATTTGCTCCGTTCTTGTAACCTCGTCCTTTTT